CGCGCTCTGGCGCCGCCTTTGGGCTCGGGCTCGGCTCCTGCCAGGGGCTGGCCCTGGGCCCACGGGGGAGCGCGTTGCGGCTCGGGACTAGAGCTTGTGCATCCACCCAGGGCCGCCCCAGTCCACCCAGGGCCACCCCCCAGTCCACCCAGGGCTGCCCCAGGTCTTTTCTGGCTGGTTTAGGCACCGAAAAATAACCCTCACCCCCCATCGTGAGGGCTGGCCCAAAGGGGCGCTGAGACGTCGCCCAGACAGGCCCGCCGCGGCGGGGTGCCACGCAGCATTGGAACCCCTTTGCTTCTGGATGGAGGCTGGGACACGAGAGACGAGGTCCCCGCTCAGGTCTCAGGCTGGTTCAGGAGAGACGTTGATGAGGGAGCCGTTTCCGGCCGGCAAGATGCAGGAGTCGGGGCGAGCGCGGGAAGGACCCGAGGGAGAGGCGAGAGCGGACCCCCCCAAAGGGGAGCAAAGTAGTGATTGTGCAGGAACGCTTAAGGGAAGGGCTCCCGGTGCTGTTTAACCACAAAGCCATCAGAGGGCGGCCAAATCCATCCCGTGGAAGCCAGGTCCTGCCTTGTGTGACCTGGGAGCTGCAGCTCTGCCTGGGAGGGGCTCGCGGGGGGAGATCAGCTGCACTCCCAGAGATCAGGAATGATGGAGGGCAGGAGGGAGCCACAGGACCAAGCACAAGAGCACAGACGTAGCAGCGCTGACTAGCGCATGGCTGCGATTCTGGTCGGGCCAAAGAGACGTGCATTTGTCCCGTGGAGCCTGGGCTCCAGAAGTTGGAGGTCCTGGGAGCTTCTTCCCTGCTCAAGTGAGGACGCAGTAGCAAGGCCCTCTGGATGGAGGGCTGGGTACCAAATCGAGCCGCCTTCCCGGGCTGAGACAGTCCGGTTACCAAAGGCTCCTATCCCTGAGGAGGCCAAATACAAGAGGCCTCCTCTCCCGGGCCTGGGGACGTGGACCCGGCCGCCTCCCGGCACAACCAGAGCAGGTCCTCGAGGGGCAGGCAGCTTTGCTCACGTTGCTCCAAGTGTGCTGCACACTCAGCCTTGCTCTCAGCCGTTTCACACATCTCGCTCCCCCTCGCTGCCACCGCCGGCTCACGGGGAAAGGCTGTGAGCGTGGGGGGGGATGGATCGGGACCACGAATATCACCCCAAGCCTGGGGCTCCCTGGGGCTGGGGATACAACCTGACTCCTCTGAATGTCCTGCCCTCACCGTGGCCCCTGGTCGCCCCTCTCCCTCCTCCCAGCCCACCTGCAGCAGGGCTCTGCAAACAGCTCCCTCCATAAAAATGCCTCTGAAGTGAAAGCAAACTTTCCATGCAGCTGGCGGGGGGCCAGGGTGCTGCTGGAAAATTGGCTGAAATGTGTGTTTTCTTTGTGAATATTTCCTTCCCTCCTGGGTTCTCACTGCTCAACTGCTCTACGCCCGTACTGCCAGCCTGCAGGCCCCTGGCCCCTTCCTCCTCTGCCAGGGGGAAGGGGTGCATTCGGGCTGCTGTCCCATAGCTCTCCCCACTACACAGCTGGCTCCAGAAAAGATATCACAGAAAATGAGGGTTGAAGGGAGCTCAGGAGGTCACATCTAGTCCAACCGCCTGCTCAAAACCAGGAGCATCCCCAACTACATCATCCCAGCCCAGGCTTTGTCTACCCGGGTCTTCAACACCTCCAAGGTGTAACCCGTTCCAACGTTGCGCTCACCCCGGAAGCAGATCTGTGGGATGAAGTTAGCCCAAAGCAGAACCGGGGACCCTGCGCTGATGGGAATTCAGGGGAGGGTTTAACAGCTGGACCCCAGCGTGACCCGGATCTACCCTGTATTCCCAGCGTACGTGCCTTGCGGGGTGGCAGCACTGTGCCGACACTCCAGCGCTTGTACACATGACGACACGTGGGCCCATAGAGCCGCGGTAATGGGCAGTGTAGGCACGGCAGTCCAGCACCTTGTCTGGGCTAATCGTTACCCAAGTAGTCGCTAGCCCCTCGAGGAATCACACCACGCTCCAAGCTGCCACAGCTAAGCCGCTAGCAGTGCCCAAGGGCTTGGCTGGTAAACACTTAACCGAGGGCAAACGCTTTCCCTTCCTGCCCCCTCGGTGTTTCTCTTAAGCCATAAGTGACTCTCCTTCCACGGCATTCACCCGGCTCCAACCCCACGGGCCGACGGCTGTAGGAGCCCAATCGCAGAGAGCGCCGCTCGATGCAACAGACCCGGCATTCTCATTCCCACGGCAAGTCAGGGTGATAAAGGACTGTATTGTGCCCTGCTGCCAAGATGTGGCAGGCTGGGAAGCCACCATGAGCAAAAACCCCTTTGGTTCATTGTTTTCCGTGCAAAGAACGAGTGTTTCTACCTTTTCAGTTCAATGGAAGAGTTTCCTTAGCAGCGCCACGGCCCCACCTGGCCTTTGCTGTGACCACATGGAGCGTCGCAGCCCTTTACAGCACCCATCCTTGAACGTGCAGCATCACAGCGGGGTGGGCAGGGAGAGTCTCCTCCAGGAGGTGTTAGGTTTTGCTCTTAGCTCCACACGAACAACCAGGCTGACTCCAAGCGTGCTTCCCTCCACCTACCCTAGGACCAGTCCCTGGGCTGTGCAATCCGTGCCTCCCAGCACAACCGTGGCCTTCCCTTTAAAAGAAAAAAGTGTTTCCCTTCCTCTGGGTCTCAGAGATCCCTTCGATCACCATGTCGCGCATGCAGCGCTGCCTTCCCGAGTGTGCAGACAACCCAAGACCATCATCCCAGCCTCTCAGCGGGTGACTACGTGTAACCAGAAAACAGTAAAGCAGCAGACGGGTTCCCTGCTGACCACGCGCCGAGAAGCCTTCGGTAAATATGTGTTGCCCATAATCCTGGTCCGTCACCCAGGGCAGCCTGCCCAGGGGCTTCATTTCAGAGCATCCCTGCCTGGGCTGCAGCCTCCCTTTCCATGTAGAAATACCCTCTCCACACTCCTCGTTCGTGCAGTCACTGCTGCAGGATTTCTACCTGCCCTGCAAGACACGCACCAAGTCCAGGGGTTTGGTCAGAACCGAAGGCCGACGTATGACAGCACAGTGCAGCTATGGGGAGCTGCTGATGTCAATGGAGTCACCCCAAGGGTGGGTTTGGCCCGGGGAAGAAGGTGCTTCCACTCCAGGCCTCCAAATGTCGCTTGCTGGAGTAAGACCTCCCCTGCTCCTTCGCTGAAGGGTGAAATGAGCCTGGAGCATCACCGTCGTCCGGGGACTACAAGCAGAGTTTTCCACCCAGCTACAGAAAACGGGCTGGCGTTGGTAAGCCACAATGACCCAGCCAGGGTGCAAACTTCCAGCGTGGCAGGGGTTGAACGTCATGCAGGGAGGACCTCTCTCTCCTTCCGGAGCAGATCTCTTCAATGCAGATGCCGTGCGGCGAGCACAGCCGACATTGCACTTGCTGCGAGAACAGCCAGCGGCCCGTTTGCTTTCTCTCGCCCTGGGGAGAAGGATGCGTGGCCTCGCTCAGCAGGTCCGCGGCTCTGAGCATGTGCTTGTCCTTATCGGAGCCCGCACGGCCATGCCTCTTGCTGACGCTGGCCTGATAGCAGAGGCAGCCGCTTCTCCAAGTGGCCACCCCAGCAGATTTCAGGGCAGAAAGAAGCCTTTTGCCCGATAGCGTCTGGCTGGGATTGCAGCGGTGACCGGGGCCGGGGGAATTTCGGGGTCTCTCTCCAACTCCCAGCCTTTAACGTGCCCATTGCTCAGGCATGGTCTGAGACAGAGCGACACCAGAACGGCAGCACTGGGGTTCCAGCAGGACCCAGTTTCAGGCCTCTGGCTTCTCTCCCCACACCAGGCTCTAGAGATGGCTTGTCTACCCCTGCCAGCAGCCCAAGGTGCGGTGAAAAGGGCGTGAAGCTGAATTCCTTAGTCCATGGGGAGGGGGTGACTAGTCCCCAATAGCAGGGGCTGGGGCCAGCACCAAGGTAGCACTGCAAGGACCACGGAGAGGAGCAGCACATCTGAAATAACCTCCCAAAAGGTGCCTGGGCCAGGCTGCAGGGCTTGGAGGTGCCCACAGAGCCCTGCCATCGGTGCTAGCCTCAGCAACCGGAGAAGGGTGCAGCCTGCGACCTTCCTGACCGACAGGAGGGGGCATCTGCCACGCCACACGATACCAGCCCCAGGTGCAGCATCCCTGGAGCCACGGGGCCACGGCCGGTTCCCTTCTCTCCCCCTTTCCCAACACGTCCTCCCACCCACCCGCCTGCCAGCCCCCTGCCCCGGGCATCGCCTCCGGCCCGGGCTGCATTTTTCTGGGTTTGATCTCATTCTTTCCACTCTCCTCCCTGCCCGCCGCCTCTTGCCAATTTTCCATGATCCCGGGCCCTCCCCCGCACCGCGGCTGCATGGAAACAGGGAGCGCTGTTTGCACACAGCGGACAGCTGGATGCTCCCGGGACGCGGCCGGGGCCGGCCCAGGGCCCAGCTTCGGCGACAGCGGAGAGAGCCCTGCGGCCTGGCACTTTGCACTGCACGGGGTGGGGGTTGGCTTGTCAGGGTCAGCATCGCCCGCTCCAGGCAGGGCAGCCTCGGGGGTAAGGGGCGTGGAGGATGGCTCATGCATTTCAAATACAACTAGGACTGCAGGGCTGCGAGCTTCCTCCCAGCAGTGCCCTGACGCTACCAGCCAGGCCTCCAGTGTTGCAAGCTTCCTCCCAGCAGTGCCCAAGCCAGTTGCAGATGGCTTGCAGGGCAGTGGGTGCGAGTGCAGGCAGTTACGGTCTATTCATCAGCGGATCCCGGTGCTGGCTGGTGCAAGCAGACTTTGAAGTGGGGCTGGGAGCCCGAGCCAAACCCTCTGAGCATCCATAGCTGGGTGATGGACAAGGCAGGTGCTGTCCTCATCTCAGCGTGCCTTCCATGATGCCAGCATGGGAGAGCTGGGCACTGCAGTGTCTCTCTGCCTCCTCCCCAGCAGATGCAGCTTCCACGGAGCAGGGAGAAAAGACGTCTCCATTGCTTCCCCGCCATGAGATCGCTGTGTTCCTGCCCCCTGCCCCAGCCCTGGTGCTGAAGACGCAAAGGCCAGTGGAAACTCCTGACCTGCCCCGCGGAGGGAGCGGGCAGCCAAGTGGCCCTGGCACAGGCCCAGGGCTTCTGAGCGAGGCCCCTCAAAGCAGCTTCCACATTCCTCCAGCAGCGCAGGCTAAATTAAACACCAGCCACCAGGCCCCAGGGCTCTTCTCCATAGCACAGAGTCCTCCAGCCTGTCCTGGAGCTGGCCGTGGGCCCGTCCACCCCCAGAGGTGCTGGCTGGGAGGATGCAAAGCCTCGCTGGCCTGTGGAACAAGGTGCGTTGCTACCGCTACCTGGGACCCCGGCAGGCTGGTCCCCGTGTCTCCCCTCTGCGCACTGTCCTGCCCCAGCAGCCCCATGGTCTGGGCACGTGCTGAGCAAGTGGGAGGGGTGTTTCACCGTGCAACTCCCAAGCACGGCACTGCGAGCAGAGCTCCCCTGGGCCGCGGGAGCAGGGAAGCCCGGAGCTCTCTGGGGCCCTGGCAGCTGCAGCGCCCAGTGCTGCGTCCTGCAGAGCCGCACGTCTCTAGCGAGGGGTGCAATATAAACACCCGGCAGCATGACGCATCGTGGGCCTGCGGACGAAGTGCAGAGCCTCCCTGGCCGCGTTCTGGCCATTCTTGGGGAGGCAGCGGAGCGCGGGAGCTCCCGGGCAGGCTGCTGGGGAGGGCAGGACGGGCAGCCTCGGCACCCTCTTGGGCAGGGAGGGTGGAAGCCCACCCGAGAGGGGGGGGGTCTCGGCAGGCCCCAGGCAACTCCACATGGGACCAAGAGACGAGGCCAAGGGCTGGAGCTGGGACCAAGACCTAAACCAAGCAGACCTCTGCGGCAGGGCGTGGGGAGCTCTTGGGGCAGTGTGATCTCCCCTGTGCACAGATCCTGGCAAGAGGGTACAAGGTGGAGCTGATCATCCCTGCAAGCTGCCCCTTTAGCTCAGCTCTGGGCCGCACCCCAGCCATTCCTCCCCAGCTGAGCACCCCAGAGACCCCCCAGGGCCCAGGTCTCCTTCCCTTCCTCCACACACCTGCTCCTCCTTCCCCTGCCCCACGGTGCACTCCCCTGCTCACCTCATCTCCCCTCCGGCAGCCCCAGCTATGGGGTGCGCTCCCCAGTGCTGCTGCTGCAGCTCTCTTTAGCCTCTCCTAGAAACTCAACCATTCTCATGCAGCCCCAGGACTGGGAGCTCCAGATCTCACAAGCCCTGCTGCTCCCAGCTGTCCTGGACAAGCATGGCCACCACTAACGACCCCCAGGTGCTCCCAGCACCTGGGCCAGACCTGCCCTTCTCTGCCTGGAGGAGAAGGAGCCCTGGCTCCCAGAGCCCCACTCAGTGGCCAGCGCCAGCCTCCCAGGCCTGTCCACCATCTGGTCCCGGGTGGGCAGACCCCTAGATGCACCCCACACACCCCGGAGGAGCTGGAGTCTGGGTGGGACTTAGCTCCTCTGCACAGCCAGCCTGAGTCACCCCATCGCATCTCCCAGGTTCCCCCCCCACACTGCAGGGAGCCCCCCACAGCTCGCCCACCAGCCCTGGCCTCTCTTCCCCATCCCAATGCTTGCAAAGGCCCCGGGTCTCAGGCACCAGAGTATTGCCCACGCTGCCCCCATCGCCCTGTACCCACCTGCGTGTCTCATTTGACACCCAGACTGTCGGCTCCTTGGGGCAGGGGCTTCTTGCCCTGCATTCATACAGCCCCAAGCGCAGCACACCCTGGCCCATAACCAGGGCTCCTAGGTGCCACAACAGCGTCCATGCTGCACCCTGGCATGCAGAGCAGAGCTGCCTGCAGGTCCCGGTCCCCAACCGCACAGCCTGGAAGAGACCATGAACCCATGCACGGGGCATGGGGCAGAGGTAGCCCCAGCCCCTATCTGGGCACCTTTTACTGTGCAAATCATGCAATAAGGCTGGTGCACACTGCAGAAACACCCTAAGGAGACTCCACAAGCCTGGTAGCTGCAAGGCCCTACAGCTCATCCCCTTCTCCTCGCACCCTCAGGGCTTTTGTGCTGCTATTTCCATGCTCCCTGCACCCTGCCGATGCAGGGCAGGCAGGATACCAGAGAGCACCAGGAGACCAGCATCGCTCTGGGTTCAGTTTATTCTGCGGGGCTCAGGGGCATCGTCGCGCTCATACAAAGACAGCGGGAAAACCTGGTTGTAGAAACAGTGCACAAAAGAGCGAGGCTGGTACAAAAGCCCGAGTCCCCGCTGGCAGGACCAGGGCACCGGGTCTGAGGAATGCTGTCCCCCACGGGCCAGACCCCACCCCACAACAGTCCTCAAAGCATCCTCCTCTTCCCCCATGCCAGCACTGAAGTGAATATGTCCCTGGAGATGCCCTGTCCCACGAGGTGCCATCGCAGCCTGGATCAGGGCCTCCTTTGAGCACCCACCTGCACCATGCTTCGTGCCAGCTGCAACACTCAGGGCCATCGTGCTGCCCCCGGTCTCTGCCACAGAGTGCCACATTTAACCCCAGTGCTTTCACATCCTCCTGGTGGTCCCCTGCCCTCTCCTGGGGGGCCTTCTCCTTGCAGAGGTACATGCCTGGGCTCCACGCCTCGTCCTGTAGGGCTGCAGGTGAGCAACTGGGGGCTGCTCTGCCTGGGGGAGCGGGACCCCCCTGGCTCCTCTGGCAGGGCCTTACAGCTTCCAAGGCTGCCGCCGAGGGGAGGTGGCTCCGTCCCCTGCTGTGGCTGCAGCCAGACCAGGGTAGGGCACACGGTGAGAGTCTGCCAGGCCCCGTGCACACGGCTGCAGGAGTGTGCTCGGCCACCTGGCTGCGGGTCTCAGAGCACGGCCAGGTCATGGCAGGACTTGGAGCGGGCTTTCAATGCCACCTTCCTGGCGACCAGGCGGCCGAGGAAGCGCCGGGCCCTCTTGGTGAGGCTCTCCTGGCGCGCGGGAGTGGCACGGCACTGGTCTCCGGCCTCCGAGCCGTCGCGGCGTAGACGGAGCTGGCGCACGACGCCTTCAAAGAGCTCGGCCACGTTGTGCTGCAGCGCGGCCGACGTCTCGATGAACTTGCAGTCGAAGACCACGGCGCAGGCCCGGCCCTCTGCAACGACCACGGGGCAGCCCCAGATCAGTGGGGCAAGCGGGGGGCTGTCGGCACAGCCCGTGGGGTGGGTGCGGGCGGAGGGGCAGTCATGCTAGCGGGACAGAGCGGGAGCGGGAGGGAAGACTGGCAGGACAGCCCCCTCCAGAGCC